TATTGTGATTATTGGGCCAATTTTCATTAAGCCTTGTTAGCGGTTATATAGTGTACATCCGAAGTAATCCTAGAGGGAGAGAATCATAATTCCTACTGGCCGGGAGAGATTACAGTCAGTTGATCCTTACTAATCCTAGGATCTATCATATACTCTAATAACTAATGCAGTAATGTGTGTGAGAGAGAGAGAGTGATGTCATAAAGCAACAAGGCGTGGGTATGTATGTATGTAGGTTGATATATATACACAAAGAAAAGGATTGAGGAGGTGATGTAGGCAGGCAGGCACCTCCTCCATCAACCATTTTCCTTTCCGTGGATTGCAGGGGTTTCATCCCATCCGGCTGTGACCACAAAACTCTCGGCATCATGTATCTATGTCGTTATGTTCATCAGATATCGATAGATTGATGATATGCACACTTACGGACGCTGCTTAACTCTCAGCTGAAGAGGATCACAGAGATATGGACCAAGAACGAAAAGCGACTCAATAAACAGCAGCTAGGTAGCCTAGAACCAGCTTGCAAGATCTGATAATGGGTATCTTATCCACCATACACATTCACTTGTGTGATGCCTGTGGTTCCTGCTAGCTGGACCTTGCTCGCTCGATTCTCCATACAAGGGGAAGCTCGTCTGAACATACTGTATAATCCAAGGGGTTACCACTGAAACAAATGAACCCAATTTCTGTGGCTCAGTGGCTGTGCACCTGTGCAGACGAGCAGAGCATCGTGCCAACTGCCAAGTGAGTATTCCGGCGCCACGATGAAGGGCCTGCATGCGCAGCACTGCACTGTGCTATCAATTTGGTTGGCAAACAAACGTCGTAATCGGTCCAAGGCTCAGCCAAAACCAGAGAGACAGAGAAATCAGACATGCCTGCCGGCGAGGCAAGGGCATGCGTGCCAAAGCCTAAGCCCAGCTCTCTCGTCTCGTCTCGTCTCGTGTCTCGTCTGTCTGGCCTGTCTCTGCTGCAGCACCAGCGTTTGGGAGCCGCCGCCGGGGGCTAAGCTCGTTGTCATCGTCGTCAGCGGAGAAAAAAAAAAAAGATCACATCGGCATGCGGTCCGACCCCGATCCCTAGCTAACCAATCGACAGCAGAAATGTGCGGACAACCGATCAGTTCCCTTTGCCGTCCATGACCCCCTTTTTTTCATCGCTGTTTTCTTCATCAGCAGCAATCGATTAATTAATTAATACTATCGTTGCGTGCTTACGTGTGGGCTTCTGGAAAACCCAAACATGAGCCAACTCAACTGGCGACTGCACTTTCATGTGATCTTCTGAATATCTGTTGCTAGCAGGGATGGTGAGACATCGTCGTCATCAAGAACGGACTAGTTCGCAGTGACAAAGAAAGAAAGTTACTTATCACCGCACCCAGCATAAGCTGGTACTGGTGGCACACACAAGCAGAGTCGGTCGGTCGTCCAAGAGGAAAAAAAAATATATACAGATCAAGAACTATAGAAGACGAAAAATCATAGTGCTGACGATAGGCGTGTAAGATTCAAATTATCGAGAAGTTTGCCCCGCCGATTATGATGTACCCCGGACAACGATGTTGAATTGTATAGATGCTGAGGTTCTGGCTAGGACCTTATGAACATCTTTAATGGCTACTTCTAGGCTAGTATTAGATGTTTTTTAAACGAACCGGTGAAAGAGCTGCCTGCTATATTAAAAAGAAGAGTAGCCTAGACGATCACTGTATAACCACACCAAAAACACAAACAAACACACTACGGTGCAAAAACAAGGAAAAAACACCACTGAGAGGAGAAATGCTGATAAAAAATGAGGATTGTGGAACACACAACTAGAAAGATGCTTTGCTCCCACCATGATCTAAAATCTCGCCCCGTCTTTAATTTTCTGTAGCACCGTGAAATTTGTCAACTCCGTGAAGCTCAAGCATTTCTTTTCTTCCAAATATATCCTAGCATACTTGGATGATGAGCGAGTGAAGGCCTTTGGACATTTGACTTGGCCGTCCACCAGCTCTCTAGTGTCTCACTAGTTGGCTAGGTACTCAGGTGCAGGTTACAGTTTGCAATCCAGGTAGCGATGTCTCTCCACAATCGCTTGGTGAACCTACAGGCTCTGATAAAAGTGCAGGCCTGAGGGAACAGGAAGAGACGAGCTAAGCTCTTTGCACGTCCCAATGTTTGAGAGAAATAACTCCTCTATCTATAAGGCACAACACTAACAAAACTTGTTAGACAATAAGATGACCTTAATAAGCACTACTCAAGTTTAGTCTAACAAGAGTACCCTTATACAATTCTAGTGTGAAAGGTTAACAATAGGCTACACATTAGAACAAGCAACTACTCGATTACACTAGCAGAAAGGACAACTAGACAAACAAGCTAGTTCTACTGAACTACACAAGCCAAAGAACAACAACAATAAAGAGCAAGTATAGTAGGTGCAAATCACAAGGGGCATCGCAATATTTTTTCCCAAGGTTCGATAGCTTACCGGCTACCTACTCCTTGTTGAGGCGAGTCCAAGGATCGTCGCTCCTCCACAAGCTCAACTACCCCTCAAGGTAGGCTTCTATGTAAGCACCACCTATGAGCCGGCCGATAAACAAGGCATTCCTGCAGCCTCGGATCTACTAGAGTTTCTCTTCGCCTTCGCCGGTGAGGATGAGCACAATAGCCCCTTATAATTCCTTCTCTGGAGCCCCGCACAATCTCCATGCGGTGCTCGATGGAGTCCCATTGCTCCAACCATCTAGGTGGCGGCAACCACCAAGTGCCACTGGATACAAACTCTCAATGAAAAATCACTAGATCACTCTTAATCTTACTCAAAATCAATCTCAAGTATGCTTACATGAGTGGATTGTGTTCTTGAGGGTTTCAATTGGTGTAGATATCAGATGGAAAAGCCAAGAGAACCAAATAGGCCGGCCACACCTTCTATTAATAGAGCCACTCAAGAACTAGCCATTATGCTCTTTGAGTGGGCTATCGACGTGCTCACCAGAAAACTCTGGTGAGGGACCAGAGAGACCCGCCAGAGGTTCAAATGGTTAGTTCAAACTAGCCATTGTTACACAATCAATCCTTCAGTGCCACTAGACTTTTTGGTGGCATCTCTAGGCCATGCAATACGTTGCTCTCAATGGTGAAACCCTTTCTCCGGTGCTCAGCATCGAAATTTTCTAGCGTTTTAAATAATCTATGTTGTACCATTTTTGGGGCACCAGAATCATCTAGTGGTCACCGGAGTTTCCGGTGACCCTCTTTAAAAGTCTCGCACAACAACCTTCGCGTGGATCGTCGCCACGTGTCCAGGGATTTTCTCCAGTGGTCACTGGAAGAATAGCCATGCTCTATTAAGTTCCACTGGCAATAATGCTAGACCCTAAGCTCCGGTACCCCTCTGCCTCGAAGCACCGGTCTTTTCCGGTGGTGCTTAGCATAGTACGTGAAACAATCGAACTAGAAGGGATGGGGCAACCTAAATTCCGGTGCTTGCCCTCTAGTGAGCATTGGACTTTTATTGTGGATACAAAAATACTTCACCGAACCCCTCTATCACCTTTTTCAAATGTGATAATTCCAAATCGATTCCCACAGGAATACCAATAGCACTGAGTTAGCATTTTCAAAATGTTTTTGAAAGATTTTCACTTGCTTCCTCATTGCACCACTAGATCTGACACATATGCAGTGTTAGTCCTCATATAGTGGCACTTAGACAAGCATGTAGCTTTAAGAATTCTCCTATTAATAGTAGGGTTATCTATCATAAACCTGGACATTCACTTCTTTACACATCATGGTCGGTAAAAGCAAAACCCTACTAGGTTATACCTTTGCCTTTAGGCTTCCGCTCATCCTTCTCATCCATCCATCATCTTCATCACATGTTGAGCACTTGGTGCCACATGATCATGCCATCACCACTCCATGGCCATCACCTTGCTCAACACCATCTTGTGGACCCTAGCTTAAACATCCCCATGAAAGCATTAGTCTACAAGTTGTCGCTCAATTACCAAAATTAAACTTGGGAGTTTCACTAAGGGGCCTTAAAAAAGAGTGTCCACTAGAGCACATAATTCATATTTATAGATTGGTAGTTCGTAGTGTAGGAGTAAGGGTTGATATGGACGGTGATTTCTAGTTTTGAACTATTCAAAGCTGAATGTGTAATTGTCGAACATTATCTTGGTCGGCCCAATATAGTTTTTTCCTTTTGCAAACTCGGTTTGATAGATTCAACTTGCCTGTCGGTGTTGATGTTTTCAGTCATCTCACTCATAAACAATTTATACACATACCTAGGTCATGTTTGTTTGCTGTCCTGAGAATCTGCCAGGCACAGGCAAGCAATTCCAGGCACACGATTTTGTCAGCCTGAGATCACGTTGCTCGGGTGTCTGGTAGGCATGAAAATTGTATGAGGCGCGCGCGCGCACACGAAATGTACATGGAGTATGAACTACATCCATATCATTTTTTTTTCCATATGTTTTTAGCTGTCAAAATTTGGGCCGAATTGTTTTTTTTTCGTTTTCGATGGGAATTCTGCATCGAGTGGATTGCGGCTGTCCCAGATGATCCCCCTTCATTCCATCCACAGAATCCATTTTCCCCTCGTTATCCGGTTATCCCCCAATAAGGTAGCATGCGCGTACATATCAGAATTCAGAAGGAATAAAGAGCTAGCAAGAAAAAATACGAACAATTGAAGGGAGGCGAAACTTAAACGAAGCTGCATCGTCACTTTTTCTCCACTCTAACGTGGTACCGGTACGAGTACGACACCAATAGGCCGGCCGGTACGGTGTAGCTCCTAGAAAGAGAGCAAGGAACGGAGCAAGTCATCAGAGACTCTCGAGGACGGACGTGAGAGACTGAGAGGTTGCTTGCTTGCCTAGCTCTATATCTTTGCAACCTGTCATCAGGGGCCGGGCTTGAGCATATATAGGACGTGTGTACTAGTAGTGATACGGTAGCTAGCTAGCAGCCATGGCATCATCATCAAGGGCTGCTCTCGCCGTCCTGATGCTCAGCTGGGCGGCGGTTCTCGCAGCCGCGTCGCTGGACATGTCGCCGGTGACGTTCCAGGCCGGCTACATGCCGCTGTTCGGCGGGGGCAACCTCGTGCCGTCGCCCGGCGGCCGCTCCGTCCGCCTCAAACTTGACCGCCACACCGGTAAGAATGAATATGAATGAATGATGCTATCAATTAATCTCTCTGCAGCTATCTAGCTAGTGCGTCTCTTCAACTGATTTGTTTCGTCTTCCTCTTCTCCGTCCTTCAAATTTCTTCTTCTTGATCATCACTACGTATTACCGTCCACCAGGCTCCGGGTTCGTATCCAAGTCGGCTTACCACCATGGATTCTTCAGTGCTTCCATCAAGCTGCCCGACGATGACACCGCCGGTGTCGTCGTTGCCTTCTACGTAAGTTGCTTATTCTTGCTTCTTATCATCACCACCCCGTAACTGTCTAACTGCGGCATCAAGCAAAAGTTCAGGAATTAACCACTTGCTTGCTCCTCGCTCGATGTTAATTTCTTTCTTCATGCATACAGCATACATACTCCAATGTTTTTATGCGGAATTTGGAGGGCCTACTTCTTATCTTATTAGTAAAAACTCTAAATTCATTTTTTTTTTATAAAAACCAAAATAAAGGCTTCATTCCCTACAAAAATTTCTAAATTCCCCCAAAAAATAAAAGTAGAATTGGCCGGAGGGCCTACTACTCAGTGAATGCTAACAATAAATAAATGTGTACACAGTAGTGTGTTGATATAGATGTGCACACCGAGAGCCACTTGTTCGTCTTCCTTTCGTTTTGGTCTGCCCATGAATTGATCATCAGCCGTAGAATTTGGCCATGGCACGAGGCGTGTGCCGTGCCTACACAAGTTGGTTACCAGAAAGTACGCTAGCTAGAACGCATGGAAAGAAAAGAGTGGTTCCAAAAAACCTATCCGGTCGTTTTTTTTTTCTTCTTCTTTGTTTTTTTATGTGACAAACCCGAAAGGCCTGTCCATGACTATACCTTTTGGAAGTTTCTACTTTCTATACGCACACCGTCCTAACGAGAAATGCTTGACATCCTTTTTGTTTTCATTTCGTTCGCTCAAAGCATTGGACTATACTTTCTCTCCCTTTGTCCCTTTTTCCTTTATTATATACATACATATAACATTTGTATGGTTGGAGAATTGGGCTAGACATTTAGGTTTTGTTTGGAATGGTTTCTTTTAGCTCTGGCTCTATGTCATGGTATTCAGAGTAGCCATTTTCTTTTCTGGCACCGCTAAGCTTCCAGTTTATTTTTTAGGGGAGAAAGAGTAAGGAGGATGGAGAAATGGCTCATTACTACAGTGTATAGCACTCCCTTCATTTCAAATTATATAAGTCATTCCAACCTTTATGACATCAAGTTTGACCAAAATTACAGAAAGAATTATAAATATTTATGACATCAAGTTGGTATATATACTATGAAAATATAATTAATGAAGAATCTAATAATACTTAGTTGGTATTATAAATATTAATTTATTATATAAATTTAGTTAAATTTAAAATGCTTTGATTTTTTAAGAAAGTTGAAATAACTTATAATTTGGGATGGAGGGAGTATTTTTTTTAGAAACCAAAGTCGTTTTTAGGAAGAGAAGGCCATCGCCTGCCCTTCCAATTTGATATCATGGCCTCACCTGCCCACCCGGCAATGGATGTAACGGATTGGCCATTATCTGTATGTCGACATGTCACGTATCTTATTTCATCTTAGGCTTTGGTAGCTCGAAAACTACAAGTGCATCGCTGCCTTAGTGCTTAATTATGGCTCATGAGTGGCTGATGGTTAGTTAAGAGTAGTGGTTGCAGATGGAAAGCAAAAGCAACCATTAAAGATGACGGCCATTACATTTGCTAGCTCAACTGTAGACTAGTGCGTGGTGGAAATGGTAGGAGGCGTGTACCTGTCACGCACTCACGCAACTGTGGACTTGTGGAGCAGTACGTTAACCTTCGGAATGGCCGGCGCCTACAAAATTCTCGCCTCCCCTTCCAGCCGCGCATCGCATCGTCAGCATCATCATCATCATCATTCTTAAAGCTACCAGACACGTGTCAAGTCCTTGCTGATGCACTTTGTTACACTAGGCTAGTTTCTACTAAATATATGGGACTGTTTGGATCACTAAGTAAATTTTAGTTTGCTAAATTTAGCTGTCAGGGATCCGAACGGCCCAGCTAAAAGATCAGCTAAAATTTAGCTGAGTTTTGTTACTTCAACCCAGCTAAACCCAGCTAAAGTTTAACTGAGTTTATTAGCTGGAGGATTTAAACATCCCCAACTAAAGTTTAGCTCGGAGAACTTTTAGCTGGCTAAAATTTAGCTTTAAAATTTTAGCTAGCTAAACTTTAGTTGGGTGCATCCAAACACGCCCATGCACTATTCTTTCCTAGTCAACATGTAAAACAAGCCTGTTCGCAAAAAAAAAAAAAATTGTAAAACAAGCGGTATAGAAAAAATATATATATTTAAACTTACTGTTATGCATTTATTATTTTTAATTAATAGCTTCAGTAAGCATAACACTATTTATTTTAATGTAATACCAAAACACCTATTCTGGATCTAAGAGTTTTATGTATGAAACATAATAACTAAACATAGTTACTGTGCTAATAAAATCATGATTTTAGGATGAACAGATTAATTATACATTTAAAGTAATAGTTATTTTGAAATAAAATTGTGACACCTAATTGAATCCTTAAATAAATATTTATTGTAACAACATACTATCATGATTCGTGTTCTTTTCTATCATGATTTGTGTTCTAAAAAGATATGTACGTAGAAAAACCAGAATTACGATTTAGAATGGAGGGATGGAGTAGTATTTAGTGATCTTTTCCTTCCAAATTATATGTCGCTTTTAGCATTTCTAGATATATAGTTTTTCTTATATGCATCTAATATATACTCCTACTTTAGTAAAAATATTTATATAAAAACTAGATATATGCCCTTGCGTTGCACAGAGGCCACAATTTTTTTCCATTCCTATGACAATGCACATGATTTGTGGTTTCAACGAACATATTATGAAATCTTGAAATCTAATTACATTGTAAATATGAAGCTTGTTTCATAATCTTTATCATACATATCGTGTAGATTTAGTGGTTTCACTTTTTTTAATACTTGTGTGATTTATTATATGTATTTTTCAAGCTTAAGCTGATTTGATCATTTTTCAGAAAAATAATAAAAAGCTAATAAATGATTTTGCATTGGAAACTCAAAACTATTTCTAGATTATCGCTGGTTTTGACGCATGCGGCGTGGGCCTCTGTCGGCCAAGCCGTTCAGCGATAGCTCGATGGGGACGACCACCTTCGTGACGATGTGGACGCTAAAGTCCGATAGGTCGCCGACTTTCAAAACGGGGGAGGTGCTCTAGCTCCACAGGAAGATTTAGAGCTCTTTGCGTCATGGTTGGGCATGGCTACGGGTTTCGACAACCATGCCAAGGCCGAGTCACTACTATGAAAATAATTTGCAGAGACGTCTCCATTTTTTATTAGAGACCATTCTATTTGTATAAATACAAATGCAAACGAGAACCCTAGTTAAAAATCCTTGTCTAAAAATCAACTACTGTGTTTTTTAACCGCCTCTAGAATTAGAATCCGATTTTTAGAGGCAACTGAAATTTAGTAGGCAACTGTAAATAGCACCCTACTTTAGCTGCGGTCAGTAACAGTACGTGTGAACTTCATTCAAAATTTCAGAAATAGGATGGTGTATCCTATTAGGGCTCGTTTGGTAGAGCTATCTCATTAGGGTCCGTTTGGTTTGGCAGAGCTTCAGCTGTGACGAAAATAGCTTCAGCGAAACGTTTTGTAAAACGGCTTTGATCGACTATTGAAATGAGTGAAATATTCGTTGCACTTTTTTTTATTTTTATTTTTTTTCTTTTCTTTCTTATTTATCTCCTCTCCCTATTCTCTCTGAATCCTTATCTCTTCACCCACGCGCACGGAGGAGTACCGTCGCGGTGAGTCCGCCGCTCCGCCTCCGCTGCTCCCACACGACGCCGCACCGCTCCGCCCGACGTTGGCGACGCTCGCGCCGCCTCTTCCCCAACGCCGGCTTCTCTACCCCGCGTCGCCTCGCTACTGCCTGCACCGGTCTTCGCTCCCACCGCCTCGTTGCTCCCCGCCAGTCTCTGCTCAGCCGTCTCTACCGCTCCCCGCGCCGACCTCCGCTAGTGACGCCTCCATCGCTCCCCGCGCCAGCCTCCGTCCGCGCCGGCTGGTGCAAATCGAAGACCGGGGCAAATCCGGCATGACGGTACCTGGCAGGCGGCGAGCTGGCGCGTCATCTCCTTCCCCGGTGAGGGCAGCAGTGGCCAGCCGAGCAGGGGCGTCATTGTGGGGGCGGCATGGTGGCGCATGCTGATACAGGAGGGATCGATGGTCAAGATGTCAACGGGGAATTCCCCGTCGGGGACAACTTCCCATCCCCGTCCCCGTGGGGCAAAAATTTCCCCATCCCCATCCCCGTGAATGCCAATGGAGAAAGTTCCTCACCCATCCCCGTCCCCGTGCGGGGATTTTATCCCCGCAGGGTCCCGTCCCCGTCACAAAATCCAGCGAGACGGAGAAGACAGGGGATGGAGGATCTAGAGGAGCAGGCACGAAACGGAGAAGAGGGTGAGGTACCGCGAGATCCGGCCGGCCAGCTGAGCCGCCGTCGCTAACGGAGGGGAAGAGGTGATGCACCGCGTCTAGGGGCAGCCACCACTGAGCGCCGCCGCTGACAGAGAGGAAGAGGCGACGGGCGCTGTCAGGGCCAGGAACCGGGCGGAGCCACAGGTGGAGAAGAGGAGGACGCAACCACGCCGGGGAAAGTTGAAAGTGAGTACGGCGGCGAGCAGCGCACACGGCGCAACGCGAGAAGAGCAGGGGCCAGTGGTTCAAGCCGACGCGCATGGGATTGAATGTGGTGGGGCGGCCGCGCCGCTGGGCCACCCGCCCTCTCCCTTGCTGGAGCGGCCGCGCCACCGGGGGCCGGCCGTTGCTCGGCCGATGAGAGGTAGATGAGAGGTGGAGCGAGAGGGAGTGCGGGTGCGGCGGTAGGGAGGCAGAGCTAGGTTTTTCCATATATATACGTGGCATTCTTACATGGGCTTTGGGCTGATGGGCCGACGGAATAAGTTGGACTGTTGGAGGCCAGGTGAAGAAACGGGGACGCGGGTTAACGGGGACGGGGGACATGCTCCTAGACCCGCCTCCGCCAGACCCGACGGGTAATGATTTTCCCCTATTTAGTCCCCCGTGGGGATAAATTTAGTCATATCCCCGTCCCCTAATAGAGGAATTCCCCACGGGGAATCGGGGATTGGGTCCCCGTTGACATCTCG